TAGTAGACTTAAGTTAGAGAATTTTGTTTTTGTAAGATTAGATAATCTATGGAATTTTTATATTTCTCAGAATTTTACAGCTCAAAAAAATCTCAAAATCCCAAAAATTCTCAATCTAGAGCTTCTGAATCTTTTAAGTTAAACAATGGTAAAATTTCCATATTTCAGAATTCCCAAAATCGAAGAAATTCAGAAATTCAGAAATTCTGAGATTCTGAGATTCTGAGATTCTGAGATTCTGAGATTCTGAGATTCTGAGATTCAAAATTCAATTCAAAATAGGTTGAAATCATCTAGAAATCACCCATAAAGTGTTCTATGATCTCGTTTTCCAATATAGCGAACAACAATACCCTTACTATACATCAATAAGGGTTTTAAAAATGAATATTCCAAATTTATGATCATCGGATTAAAAAGTTTGGTGACCGATCAGAATGAGAAACATGAGAAAAAATTATAGTTTATAGTCATGTTTTTATGGGAAAAAAGGCAGAAAAGTCAGCAGGTTTTTCAGTGGGAAAATTTAGGAAACTGGAAGTTAATAAAAAAAAAAAATTTTTCTAGAAAATCTTCAAGTTTTGTTTCCAAAAAAAAAGAACCTGATTTTGTGAAGAAAAAGCATAAAAATCTGATTTTTGGCAAAAATGGATCGATCTGAATTTAAAGAAAAATAGCAAAAATAGACGGAAAGAATAAGCATAAAACTTTTTTTAAAATGAAACTAGCTCAAAATTTAGTGAAAATGACCGGAAGTTGACTGAAAATTCACCAAAATTTGGTTGCAAATAGGTAGTTCAACGTAGAATTTAACTTTTTCTAGATCTTCAAGATTATGAAATTCTGAGATCCAGAAATGATAAGATTCTAAAATTCTGAACTTCAAAAATACCAAAAAAAAGGAAAAAAACCTTTTTCTAGACCAGAAAATCTGGCCTAACAGTAAGACATAAATTTTTGTATCAGATTTTTCTATTTATTTGCTTTTATTTCGTTTCAAATGACGTACCTTTTTTGAGTACCTGACAAACAGAAAAAGCAGAAAAAAGTTGCCGAACATTGGTTCCGAAAAAATAAGAAATTTTCGGTTTCTTGGAATTTATGAATTTTAAATTTCCAATTTTTTTTTCAATCTTTTGGACTCTATGAATTTTAGAATAACGCACAGATTTTTTTAAAGAGGCCTGCAGGACTTCGGAATGGATCCGGAAACTTTTCAGAGACTACAAAAACTACAAAAATATAAGGAACGGATGAAAATACAAAAAATGTCTGAATCAGTGAAATATCAAGAACAGAAATGAGCAGTGATCAACCTTCAGAACCACAGAACTTGAGAATCTTAGAATTTCAGAATTTAGGGATTTCAGAGTTTGAAAATCACAAAATTTCCGAACTTTCGAATTTCAAACTTTCAGATTTCCGGAGTTTTAGATTTCCGGAGTTTTAGATTTCCAGAATTTCTCAATTTCAAAACTTCAAAATTTCAGATCTTGGAATTCCAGAAACCGTCAACCCTGTATTAGAAGGGCCCCCCACACTGTCAACTTCAATACAATTCATCTCGGTTCCTGTAGAAGATATCGTAAATGTGTCAACTATCAAAATATTGGCGATATTATGATGAACACACTATCAATTGATTACTTTTTGATATCTTTTGAAAGAACCGAGATATATGGGCTCAAAGTTGGAAGTTAGAGGGCTCTTCTATTACAGGTTTTACGGTATCCATATCAGAATTTCTTTCTTTTAAAGGGGGACTCCGGTCAAATTTTTATTGCATTAAAATGTGTTAAAAGTTATCTATTTTCCTAATATTATTGCGATTTTTTTTTTCAAAAATCCGAAATCCCCGAAAAACGCCGTTGAAAAGGAAAAAATTCAAAAAAAAGGTGCCTTTTATTTACGATTTTTTGCTTTGAAATACAACTTTTACTTGTATCAAAAACTTCAATTTTCCAACTTTTTTGGCAGAAAATCTGAAAAAAAGTCAAAATTCACTTTTTTGGGCCAAAAATAGGTGCTCTAGCTCCATCCGGACATCCGGACACACAGATAGAGACCAATTACCAAAAAAACAGCATTTCCAGAATTCGGATAGTGAAACGGAAATCGAAGAATTCGAAAAATTCTATCGCGTCGTCTCGAAAGAACCCAAATATGCTGAAATGGACACTCGAGTGGCTAGTAGTCAAATTCAGCACTTATTCGATGAATAGAATCATGATCTGCGTGGAATTATCGCCCGAACGGGGGATTCTACAGAAAAAGAGGTCAAAAAAGAGATTATGGAGGAAGCGAAGCAGGATATAGAAGCTAGAGATGCAAAGATTTTCGGAAAAGAGAAATACAAGATTTTATTCAGTAATATACAGTAATCAAACAGCGTTCCATAAAATTTCAGACACAAAAAAAAATCGAAAAAGAATCTTCAAAAATAGCGGAAAAAACTAAAAAAGTCTAAAAAGTTCGCGAAAAATCGGAGAAAAAACGCAAAAATCATTAATTTTTCAGAGTTTTGGCGGGAATTCAAAAATAGATTCCAGAATTTTCCAGAAGCTTTCAGAAATGGACGAGAACTGAGATTTTTTCGAT